AAAACGCCAAATTTCGAAAGATATAACAGGCATGAAGACCCGATCACTCACTTAATGTGATACTGTAACCAGTTGAGAGGTGTTGGTGGAAAAGAGGAGCTACTAATGGCTTATTACGGAGAAAGCCTTGCCAGAATATCTTGTGAGTGGTATATGGACCAAGATATCTCCCATTGGCACATATGGGACGACCTGGCCCATGATTTTGTAAGGCAGTTTCAATATAATGTGGACATTGCTCCCGACAGGAATTCTTTGACCAACTTAAAAAAGAAAGCCTCGAAAAGTTTCCGAGAATACGCTATCAAATGGCGTGAACAAGCGGCCAGGGTAAAACCACCGATGGATGAGGCCGAGATGGTCAATGTCTTCTTATAAGTCCAAGAGGCTGATTATTTTCAAAACATGATGTCTGCCATGGGAAAACTGTTCGCGGAGGCCATAAAAATTGGAGAAATGGTAGAAAATTGCCTGAAACAGGCCGCTTTATAAGTCAATCAGCTATAGGAGCCACTTCCCAAGCCATCCAGAGCGGCTCGGGAGGTTTAGCAAATCGGAAGAAGAAAGAAGAAGGAGCCATGATGGCTACAAGCTTGAGAAACTCTCGTCAGCCTCGGGATTATTTTGGTCCCTCTCTTAGGACCCCGCAACATTACTACCCCCACCAGGATGCAGCATATGCTATGGCCCCGCATCCTTATGCGGTAGTGAACGCCTAACCATACGTACGGCCACAGCAGCATTATAACCAAATCAGAGCTCCATTTCCAAGAAATAACCCTCCTAACCAAGCTTCGTATAATCCCTGTCCACCACAGAACAATTACCAATATAACACACGCACCCGTGAACCACCCAAGAAGGCTGACTTCACCCCTATTGGTGAGTCTTATTCCAGCCTATTCCCGAAGTTAGTCCAAATGGTTATGTTGCAGCCTGTACCTCCAAACAGACAGAATCCAAAATCTCCATCTTACCGACCAGGTACCAGGTGCGCTTCTCACTCAGGAGCGGAAGGACATGACGCTGAAGATTGTTGGACCCTTAAGAGAGCAGTCGAGAATCTGATAGAACAGAAGCGGGTAGTGCTAAGGGACGAGGAAGTCCTTAATTTAATCAACAACCCATTACCGGCTCACAACAACGAGCCAGTCATTGGGATGATCTGTGAGGACAAAGAATTTGACCCAGCATTAAAAGCTATCATTACCATCACCGACTCAGAAAAGAAACCCGAAGCGGTGGCAAAACAGGCTAGAAATGAGAAGAAGATAAATTCCACTCCCCAAAATGCATAAAACGCGGTAGAAACAAAGACAGGGGCATTACCTACAAAAGATGCCATTCTTTACGTTCCTAGGCCCCCTAGGAGAGAACAACTCATGCTGAGCCCTCCTAAAATATTTGAACAGAAGAAAACCACACTAAATGTGCCAAAGATGTATGTACCAAAAAGGACTTACGTGGTGCGAAGATCAACAATTCCACCCAGGCTGGATGAGCCTGTGATCATCAGTCGGGCACCGCAGAAACCCATGAGACACCCAACTTTAATCCCTTGGATTTACAATAAAACGATGGTCACATACAAAAGAAAGGAAGTTGTGGGAGAAGTAAATGAAACAAACCCATCTGGGAAGTATCACAACCCAGAAGAATTGAACAAAACATATCAGAAGCGGTTTCCGTTCAAGAAGCCAGTTAGCGCTGAAAAAACGGAGGAATTTTTCCAAAAAATGAAAACCTCAGAGTATGCTATAATTGATCAACTTAGAAAGTCTCCCTCTCAGGTTTCAATTTTTTCCTTGATGATAAGCTCAAATGAACATCAAAAAGTGCTTCTAAAGATGTTGAATGAGGCATATGTTCCAATTGAGACTACGATTGAACAGTTGGAAAGAATGGGAGAGCAATTTTTTGAGGTCAACCGAATCTCCTTCAGTCGAAAGACTTGCCTCCAGAAGGAGTTGCCCGCAACAAAGCCCTTCACTTGACTTTCATGTGAAAAGGGTTATGTTAGATGGTGGGTCTTGAGTTGACATTTGTCCTCTATCAACAATATAAAGGATGGAAATTGGGACTGAAAGGATTAGACCTAAAAATGTTTGCGTGCGTGCTTTCGACGGTGTCAAGAGAGATACGATAGGGAAAATTGACTTGGTCCTAACTATTGGCCCTATAGATTTTGAAGTAACATTTCAAGTTCTATACATGGACACTTCCTACAACTTCTCTTAGGAAGACCATGGATCCATGCCACGGGAGCCGTTCCCTCTACTCTCCACCAAATGGTCAAGTTCGAACATGAAAACCAAGAAATAGTTGTCCACGGAGAAGATGAACAGTCAATCTACAGGGACCCGTCAGTCCCATGCTTGGAGGATAGAGAGGGTAGTGAACACATCGTCTACCAAGCCTTTGAAATCGTGGTCACCGACCAGTGCAAGGAAGGAACCCTATGTCCTCAACCCTGCTTATCGAACACATCAATCATGGTTTCCAGCGAAATGATCAAACATGGGTACAAGCTTGGGAAAGGGCTCGGGGTATCCTTACAAGGCGTTACAGAGCCTGTCACTTTGACTGTCAGTGAGAAGTTCTTTGGCATAGGCTTTCAAGCTACCGATGCCGACGTAAAATGGGCCAATGCATGTGATAATAATGGGTGGGCCCCGCCTCAGCTAGTCCTGCACCTCGCCAGGTCGTTTGTTAAGCCAAGGTATATAGAAGAAGAAAAAGAGGCCTTCACGACTGAAGAAATTGAGGACATCTGTGGGGCGATGAGGCAAATGCTGTACGAGGTTCACATGGTCCAACCAGGCGAAGGCTCAAGCACTACTGAGGTGAAATATATGGGGCCAAATGCTAAACTTCAAAATTGGAAGGGTACTCCATTCCCAGTCAGGCGGGAATCCCAGTAGTTCAGTCTTGCCATCTTTTCTGCATTCCGAGTTATTTCAGGGTGTAACTCGAATGTTTTTAGTTTGTTGTCTTTTAAATTCCGATGTAAACCCTCCTATCTTCAAATTCAATGAAATGAAATCAATATTTCATCGTCTATGAATCTCTTTCTATTATTCTTTCTTATTTTGCTATTTTTCTTATCTTTCTCTTTTCAGTTCTAATAATGCGGACTTAAATAACATGACATGCTTGCGGACTTCATGCCCAGATCCTAACACGCTGTCTAACTGTTAAATAATGAACCAAGAATCGAAATACGATGAAGATGAGGCTTTTAGGGAAATAAATCGAGAACTCGAACAATTTGAAAATAAGCCTAAACCAAACTTAAATGAAACCAAGCCTGTCAATTTGGGTAGTCCAGAAGAGATCTGGGAAACCATGATAACCATTCACGCCAATGAAAGCACTAGAGATGCATTGATCCAACTTTTGTTCGAATTCAAAGACGTGTTTGCATGGTCCTATGATGATATTCCAGGACTGAGTGTTGATTTGGTTGTACATAAATTGCCAACTTATCCTAGTTGCCCACCTGTCCAACAAAAGAAGAGAAAGTTTAAGATGGACATCATTGATAAGATCAAGGAAGAAGTTACCAAACAGTTAAAAACGGGTGTGATCCGAGTAGTTCGATACACCACGTGGTTGGCTAATGTGGTCCAGTACAAAAGAAAGACGGAAAAACCCGAGTATGTGTTGATTATCAGGATTTGAACAAAGCAAGCCCGATGGACAACTTTCCATTGCCAAACATCCACATTCTTGTCGATAATTGTGCCAAACATGAGATACAGTCTTTTGATTGTTACGCTGGGTGCCACCAGGTTCTAATGGATGAAGAAGACGCAGAAAAGACAGCCTTCACCACACCCTAGGGCACCTACTGTTACCGAGTCATGCCATTTGGTTTAAAGAACGCCGAGGCAACTTATATGAGAGCTATGACTGCCATCTTCCATGACATGATGCACTAGGAGATTGAGGTGTATGTGGATTCTGTGATCATTAAATCCAGAACGCAGGACGACCACGTGCGGGATCTGAGAAAGTTCTTCGAGCGTCTGTGCAAATATGATTTAAAGTTAAATCCAGATAAGTGTGCATTCGGAGTTCCATCTGGGAAACTTTTGGGGTTTATAGTCAGTCGGAGGGGTATCGAGTTAGATCCAACAAAGATAAAGTCTATTCGGGATTTACCACCTCCGAGAATCAAGAAAGAGGTCATGAGTGTGTTGGGAAGATTGAATTACATCAGCATGTTCATTGCTCACCTGACTACCACATGTGAGCCCATATTTAAGCTGCTAAAGAAAGACACGGCGATTAAATGGACGGATGAGTGTCAAGATGCTTTTGATAAAATCAAAGAATATTTGTCAAATCCGCCGGTATTGGTTCTGCCTGAGCCTGGAAGACCTTTGTTCTTGTACTTGATAGTCTTGGAGAACTCTTTTGGTTGTGTTCTCGGGCAACATGATGCGACCGGGAAGAAAGAGCAATCCATATACTACTTGAGCAAGAAATTTACTGGTTATGAAGCCAAGTACACTCTGTTGGAAAGAACTTGTTGCGCCCTAACTTGGGTCGCCCAGAAGCTTTGACATTATCTGTTGGCTTACACCACATATCTCATAACAAGATTGGACCCCCTAAAGTACATATTCCAAAAACCAATGCCCACGGGAAGGCTAGCAAAATGCAAATCCTTCTCACTGAGTTCGACATTGTTCATGTCACCCGCACAGCCATGAAAGCCCAAGCCTTGGCTGATCATTAACTGAGAACCCAGTTGATGATGAATACCAGCCCATGAGTACTTACTTCCCGGACAAAGAAGTGAATTCAGTTGAAGTAATTCAGAAGGCACCAATGCTCGGAAAATGTTCTTTGATGGAGATATAAATGCAAAAGGTGTCGGGATTGGGGAAATTTTGATTTCGCCCACTGGTCAGCACTATCCAGCCACAGCCCGGCTCCGGTTCTTTTGTACAATCAACACCACTGAGTATGAAGCCTACATTATGGGCATGAATATGGCAGTTGACATGGATGTGGAGGAATTGCTAATCATGGGAGATTCTGACTTGATTATTCGGCGAGCTCAAGGTGAATGGGAAACTCGAGATATCAAGCTTATCCCATACAGGCAACCTGTGGAAGATCTGAGTAAACGGTTCAAGTCTGTTGAATTCATGTACATCCCTCGATTCCACAATGAGTTAGCTGATACGCTAGCTACCTTGGTGACAATGTTGTCATATTCGGGTAATGTCCATGTTGACACATTGGAGATCCAAATTCGAGAAAGACATGGTTATTGCAATATAGTTGAAATAGAACTAGATATTCAGCCATGGTATCATGATATCAAAAGATTATTGAAAACAAAGGAATACCCCGAGCAAGCCAGTGGAGACCAAAAGAGAACCATTAGAAGGCTAGCCAATAGTTTCTTCTTGAGCGGAGAGGTCTTGTACAAAAGAACTCTAGATTTGAATCTTTTAAGGTGGCTAGATGACCAAGAGGCTGGAAAGATCATGAACGAAGTGCATTCGGGAGTATGTGGGCCCCACATGAACGGATGTGTCCTTGCAAAGAAATCCTTCGGGCAGGTTATTATTGGATGACCATGGAAAAGGATTGCTTCAGTTTTGTCCGCAAGTGCCATCAGTGTCAGATACATGGTGACCTGATTCGTGCACTGCCTTCAGAGTTGCATCCTATGTTAGCACCTTGGCCGTTCGTTGCCTGGGGTGTGGATTTCATTGGGTTGATCGAGCCAAAAGCTTCAAATGGGCACAGATTCATCCTGGTTGCCATTGATTATTTCACAAAATGGGTTGAAGCAGTCACTTTCAAAGCCGTCACCTAGAAAGAGGTGGTGGACTTCGTGCATTCCAACATCATTTGTCATTTTGGTATTCCTAAAACTATCATTACAGACAGTGCTGCAAATCCGAATAGCCATTTGATGAGGGAGGCATGCAAACAATTTAAGATCACGCATCGTAGCTCTACCCCTTATCGGCCCAAAGCTGATGGTGCTGTTGAAGCAGCGAACAAGAATATCAAGAAGATCCTCGGGAAAATGATCCAAAGTTCTAGACAATGGCATGAAAAGCTGCCTTTTGCATTATTGGGATACCGCGCAACCGTGCGCACATCAGTTAGGGCAACACCCTATTTATTGGTTTATGGCACTGAAGCCGTAATACCTGCAAAAGTTGAGATTCCCTCTCTTCGAATCATCATTGAAGCTGAGAATGAGGATGACGAATGGGTCAAGACCCATTTAGAACAATTAACCATGATTAATGAAAAGCAGATGGCCGTAGTTTTCCACGGGCAGCTGTATCAACAAAGAATGTCCCATGCCTATAACAAGAAAGTGCGTCCTAGAAACTTTGAAGTGGGGCAACTCGTTATGAGACGTATTCTCCCGCATCATGAGGAAGCAAAAGGAAAATTCGCTCCAAATTGGAAAGGTCCATACACTGTAAGAAAACTGTTGCCGAAAGGAGCACAATATTTGGAAGACATCGAAGGAAATGATCCCGAAACAGCTGTTAATGCTGATGCGGTCAAAAGGTATTATGTTTGACCCTTTTATGCTTTAATACTTTCCGATTGGATGACGAAGGCTTTCATTTCTCGCTACCCAAACACTATCAACCCTCTGCAAGCCCTTTGAGCCAGTTACTTTTCTTTGATTACCCTCTTTGGAACCAAGAAGCCGTTATAAAAAAAAGGAAAAAGATGAATGAAGCAAAACAAAAAAAAAAAAACAAAAATTTTCCTTGAACTACGTGCGACTTGATTCCGAAAGGATACGTAGGCAGCCTCTCTCTGGGATTCAGTCACACCAAAATAAAAACACATTTCCCCAAAGTCGAAACGGGGGCAGAAGTTACAGTGATCCGGCAATAGTTTTGCATGAAAGGTTCCAAAGTTGTTATTCAATTCAAATTCTTTTTACCCAATTCCTATTCAAGTCCTTCAGATCAATCGGTAAAGATGACCAAATTGGAAGATATGGTTACTTGGATCTGATACAATCAAATGAGAGAAATAAAATGAGAGAGTCTTATTGGTGAAAACCCACACGGGCACTATAGGGCGATGGTAAGTAGAGAAATTGAAAATGAGAGAGTCTTGTTAGTGAAAACTCACAAAGATCACTATAAGGCAACGGTAAGAAGAGAAATAAGAGAGGTCAGCTGGTGAAAACCAGTAAAGGGCGCCACTGATCGAAAAGGGGATCCTCACAGCCATCAGCATCGACAGAGTCCTTTCAAGGTTTCTCAGTTTTAAGGTGTGAGTTACGATGAATTTATGAGAGTTGGACGGTTTTCACAGATCGGGCATCTAGTCCAAGAGGCATGTCATGTTCATTAAGTCCGCATGCACTCCAGATAAGTCCTTCTTTCCTTTCCCCGAAAGGGATATCTCTCATCTAAGTTCATTTTTGTCCGTTTCATTGCTTGATTTTCATTGAATCCCTTTCGGTCTAATTATGTTTCAAAACTAAGACAAATAAATGATGGCAAGATTGGTTTACAGGGTTTTTTTGACACAAGCCGATATTCAAGAAGGCACCCAGCCTCGGCAGGTGCATCGAGTCGACTACGACTGGCCATGATGGCTGATGCTTTGAAATAAAAAACTCCTGAAACGAAAGGAAATCAAAGTCAAATTCCCACAAAGGCAAAATAAAGCTGAAAAGGTCAAGTCCCGCATGATTAACCATCATGTTAAAGTTTTGGAAAAGTCAAGATCCCCAGGTTTAGGAAATGAAACCAATCCCCAGAGAGCAAGCAAGCAATGGAGATCTATATCAAATGAGTCGGGCCGAGATCAAGTGACTGAAACGCTCAAGGCCATAAAACCAACCACTATTTCAAACTAACAAATTGTTCTTTGTTTGAAAAACAGGAAATCAGTGTAATGCAAAGCAACCTTGCAAGAAGTAGGTGCAACAAAAGCAAACCACGCAGAGACTAAAATGGTTCTGCAGCAATAGTCAACCCAAAAGGGAAGTCCCCTCAAAATTCTTTACTTACTCTCTTAAATAAAAATGATGAAAAACGAAATGAAAAGAAAAGAAAAGAAAAGAAGAAAAGTTCAAAGCCATGGTAGTGTTGGTCTCCAGTCCCTAGCTTGATGACTTTCCAACATAGGGTCCCACTCCGTAGTTGATGCCAGCATAACCTAATGACTTTTCCAACATAGGGTCCCACTCCCTAGTTGATGCCAGCATAAGCTGATGAATTTTCCAACATAGGGTCCCACTCCCTAGTTGATGACATCATAACCTGATGACTTTTCCAACATAGGGCCCTACTCCTAAGTTGATGCCAGCATAATTTGATGATTTTTCCAACATGGGGTCCCACTCCCTAGTTGATGCAAACATAACCTGTTGACTTTTCCAACATGGGGTCCCACTCCCTAGTTGATGCCAGCATAACCTGATGACTTTTCCAACATATGGACCCACTCCCTAGTTGATGCCGATATAACTTGATGACTTTTCCAACATGGCGTCCCACTCCCTAGTTGATGCTAGCATAACCTGATGACTTTTCCAACATAGGGTCCCACTCCCTTGCCAGCATAACCTGATGACTTTTTCAACATGGGGTCCCACTCCCTAGTTGATACCAACATAACCTGATGACTTTCCAACATAGGGTCCAACTCCCTAGTTGATGCCAGCATAATCTGATGACTTTCCAACATAGGGTCCCACTCCTTAGTTGATGCCAGCATAACCTGATGACTTTCCAACATAGGGTCGACACTCTCTAGTTGATACCAGCATAACATGGTGATTTTTCCAACATAGGGTTTCCAATCCCTAGTTGATTTTACTTTTTAGACATATGGTCTCCACTCCCTAATCTCCTTTTTCCCGAGGATACACATTCCTGATTTTTATTGCTTTCAATCATGAAGTAGTATAGAGTTTTGGTTACAAATAACTCACGAAATTTTCCTAGTGAAAAACTGGGGCAGAAAATTTCGTTCATTTCTTTTGTTTTGATTTCTGAGCAGGTTATACCTTAAAGAACTGGGTTCGAGACGACCAAAAGAAGAAGTCTCAATCCAGAGTCAAAAAGAAGAAAAAAGAAAAGTTAAACCCAAAGTATAGAAGCGGGGAAGATATGGACTACTCAAGACAAGATTGAAGTCACAAGTTTGCATGCCCGTCTTGATCCGAAAAAGATGAAGAAGATTGAACCAGCACCTGCAGGTAACAAGCATCAAGATCCAGATCAGAGTCTGCATAAAGAACCAGTCGAGACTTAAGACCAAGCTTCGAAATTTACAGATAGGAATCTTGTAACTCGTAGCTAATAGGTTTAGTTAGTTTTCTTCATTTCTTACTTTGGTGTAATAAGGAGTTCAACACCAGTAACAGCAGCAGTGAGATCACAGCTTTCCGGTAGTCCTAGCTACCAAAACTTTCAGAACTACACTGACCTAATTCCTTTATAGCCAAGTATATGTAGGCAACCTTTGAAGCGATGTTCGGTCAAACTTTTTCAAAATGCTTCCCACAGAGTATCAAAACGGGTAAAATTTGTTCGTGACTGCTCACTTTATCTTTGCCCGAAAATTCTTCGTGTTTCCATGCAAAGACGGGAAACTGTGAGCATGTAAGTTTTACCCTATTAAAATATTCCTACAAAATTAATAAATAAATTAGCCCTATTTATTTTTAGATTTCTTTTAGGATTTTTTGGTATTTATTTAGAATTATTTTCATTTTTTGTTGCATTTTTTATTTTTAAAGTTATGAAAAAACTAACAAAAATACTTAAACCTTCATCATCTTGCATTATTAGGCTTTTAACTTAATTTAATGCCTAATTACCCATCTTTAATCACTTCATTAAAAGAAAATAAAAAAAATTATTTGTTTTGACATTTCAAAGTTTTAGTATTAAAATTAGCAATTTTTCCTTTTTAAATTTAAGATTGACTAATTGTGTAAATAATACAAATAGATAAATAGTTAATTTTTACAAATGAAGATAATTTAGTACTTAATCTAGCGTTTATATAAATTAACTAGCTTTTAAAATTAAAGAATAGGGGGTCTTGGCCGAATTGGGCCAATTTAAACTAGCCCAATCCCGAAACTTAACCCAAAAAACCACCCAGCCCAAAATCCCATCCGGTCCGCCCCATGTAAACCCAAACGGCCCCATTTTACCTCCATTCAATCCAGGCCGTTGATCTCCAATAGATCCAACGGTCCGGAACTCCCTCCCCTTTTAATATAAAAGTGTCATAAACCCTTCACCCCCTCATTTCCAAGCTCCCCACTCTCTCACAGCTCTTTGTCAATTTTCCAAACCCTAGCCGCCCCTCCCTAGCCGCCCCATATCCCTCCACCTTAAACCACCACCAAACCCTAGTCGCCTCTCCACCATCCGCCTAGAGCCGCCGACCGGAAATCACCTCCGCCGGTCGGACTTAACCATACAACTCCAAACCAATATCAATCAACTCCTCTTCTCCTCCTCTACCTCACCCCACCAACCAAATCCACAAAAAACCTACAAAACCTACACCTAAAATAGGGCCAAATTTCTAGTACCACTCTAACCCCACCGTCGGA